AGGGCCTCCATCACAAAAAGCAACAAGAACGGAGAAATAGGATCCCCTTGTCTTAATCCCCTCGAACTAGAGAAAAAACCGGTCGGAGCTCCATTAACAAGAACTGAAAAACGAGTACAAGAGATGCAAAACAGAATCCATCTCCTCCACCGCTCCCCAAATCCCATCCTCTCCATCAAGTAGAGGAGGAAACTCCAGCTTACATGATCATACGCCTTCTCAATATCCAGCTTGCACAAAACACCCGGATTCCCACTACTCAATCTGGAGTCAACACATTCGCTAGCAATAAGAACTGAATCCAAAATCTTGCTACCTCCCATAAAGGCATTCTGAGAATCAAAAATGACACCATCTAAGATCTTCCTCAACTTAGAGGTCAGGACTTTAGCAATCAACTTGTAAATATACCCCACCAAGCAAATAGGGCGAAACTCCCTGACATCCAACGCCCCACCCTTTTTCGGAATGAGAACAATAAAAGTGGCATTCGAGCTCTTCTCAAAAGAGCCCTAGGCATGGAAAGCATGAAAAGTACCCATAATCTCCTCACGGACCACCTTCCAGCTCTCCGAAAGAAAACTCATGGAGAAACCATCTAGACTTGGGGCTTTATCCCCATTACAGCTCTTCAACGTGGTCAACACTTCCTCTTCAGAAAACGGCTCCTCCAAAACAGAGCTCTCTTCACCCGATAAAGAGTCAAAATGAAGCCTTGCAAGCAAAGGTCTCCAACCAGCTGATTCTGTGAACAATCTCGAGTAGAAATCTGCTATACTCGTGCAAATCTCCTCCTCCTTACACAACACCTCCTCATCCACTCGGATTCTCCCAATATGATTGCCCCTTCTATTAGCATTAGCAAGTCTATGAAAAAAATTTGTGTTCTTATCCCCTTCCTTGAGCCACAAAGCTCTAGACTTTTGCCTCCACGAAATCTCCTCCAAAACAACAATCTCAGCAAACTCCACCTGACACTCTACCTTCCTACGTCTCAAGGAGTCCGACAAAGATCCCTGACCCTCAATCCGATCAATATTGGCAATCTCTGAAAAGACCCTATTCTTCCGCCAAACCAGATTACCGAAAACCTCTTTATTCCAAACTTTAAGATCGTTCTTCAACAGACGAAGCTTACTTCCGAGAGAATGACTAGGGGAGCCACTCACGCAATACCCCTCCCACTAGGATCGAACCCTTTCCAGAAAACCTTCAAGACGAGAGAAAGTAGGAGGAGAACGACCACTAGACCACGTAAAAGGACCACCCACCAACAGCAAATCAATCAATCTCCACTCATCAATGAACTCTGAGAATGACTCCATTTCAAATGTCCATCTTACCCCCGTCGACCTCTCAAAAGGAGAACGGACAACATTGAAGTCCCCTCCAATACACCAAGGCAACTCCCATCGTCTACGGACCTCTCCACTCCTCCCAAAACAAATGTCGCACACTGTCTTCTGTAGCGCCATAAACACCAGAGAAGACCCAACGAAAACCATCCTCCAACAGAGAGAGAACGCAGGAAACAGAGAAGAGCCCCACCTGAGAGTCCCCCAAAGAAACCCAACGGTTATCCCACATGATAAGAATGCCACCCGCAGAACCAATCGCATCAAAAGCAATCCACTCCACAAATCCCCCCCCCCCCCCCCTCTCCCAACAACAAGCTTCTCACAATCAAGTCCGTCATCGATGCAATCTTAGTTTCTTGCAAACACACAACATGCCCACCCTCTTTCCGAATCACCGACTTCACAACTTTTCTTCTCTTCGGGTCATTGAGACCCCGGACGTTCCATGAAAAAAGTCGTAGCTTCATGAGGAAACAGATGAAAAATCACTCCTACTCCTCCTTCCATCGTCCCACTCCCTGGACCCCTTGTTCCTCCATTCATAAGTAACGACATCAGTGGGACTCCTCACCTCCCTCTCCCCCACCTCAACCTGCAACCCATCCCTTTTACCTGCGCTCTCCAAATCTGAGCATCAATAACATCATTAAACAACCTCATTGCCTCATCCAACCTACCTTCAAACGACACACCACCAAGAGAACCCACCTCTCCACCCTTCTCTCTCAACCACTCCTCTTCCAAACTCACTTTGCCCACACCAACAGCTGATGCTTCCATGCACTCCACCTCCGGCCCCATCACAGCCAAAGGGACAACATAGTCAAAATCATCACCACCCCTTCCCACTGAACTAAGCCCAAATCCCCTTCAAAAAAGGAACTTGAACCTCCCTCCCAAGCATCGGAAAAGGAAGGGGAACCGCAAGTCAAAGGCGTCCCAGCCTCCTCATCCAAAACAGAACTTCCTGAGATGCTTTGCAAGCCTTTTAATGCCAAATGGTCCCGCAATTCCTTCAAAAACACGTTGGCTGTTACATCATCCAGCTTAATTTTCTCATCCCTTCCCACGTAAACAGTAACTCCTTCGCTACTAAAATCACACAGCCGAGAGGAGCCAAGCCTAAAATCACTACCTTCGCCATGACAATCAACCACCAGCTCTCTCTCAAAAGCTGGGGACATTATGAACCCGACTCCACCACGCCTTTATTCAACCCCAAACACCTTCGCTATTGAGAGGAAGAGGGAGAAAAAGGTTGAGAAGATGGTAGTCCATGTGAAAAACTTGACTTATCCGGAACAGAGTCAACCGGTGCTCTCGGAATCCACTTCTGCTTCTCATTCCTTGACCATCTTCTACCAAAAGAAGGAAGAGACACCTTCTTCTTCAGACGGTGACCCTGAACAAAACCCTTAGCTCGTCTTCCTCCTCTAGACCCATTAGAAAAAACGTCGGACGGAAGAGCATCATTGTTAATCACGACATTAGACAAGGCCTCAAAACGATTGCCCAACATTGCCTAGGAACGTCCTTAAATGAACCCGGCCCGCCCTTCAAATTGCGACCCAAACCAATAGGCCCAATTACATCAAAATCATTCTTTTGGGCTTTAACACCTTCAGTAGGTCCACTTGAAGTATAGGCCAAGTCCGAAGTCTGGGTCGGCCCACACGGGGAAGGATTACTTACTCCCAAAGACTCGGACATCGGCCCATCCTTAGGCCCATCTCCACGAGCTTGCATCCTCGCCTTCGGAGCCCAATCATTTGAAACAAAATGGGAACCAGCTGATTCCACTTAAAATGGCCACTCCCTGTGCGCCACTCACATGTATGGCCAGCAAGACTCTTCCTTCCACGCGCTTGTATCGCAAGAAAATCACCTCTCTGTCTTCCTCGATCCCATATCTGCAAGAACGCCGGATGGCCAATCTTGGTGAAAGATCCACTCCTCTGAGTTTCCCGGAAGCCCATCTGCCGGCGAAGATTAGAGACACCCGCCAAACGTTCGTCCCTTTTTTGAGTGAAAATCCGTCGAAAGCAATTAGAGTTGCGAATCCAGAGGGCGTCCCTTCACTCCGTCCATCGTTGAAGCTTTATCAATCCCTTTTTTCCCATAGCATCCCGCTTGAACCATTCGGCCTCCTTGACCAAGTGCGAACCATCCCCTCCTTCAAGACTATCCGTCGTCGGCACAAGTTCCGGAGGCTTCTCGTCCCACACGGCAACCTTATAACAAAACCGATCGTCGTGGATGAAGACAAAAGAGGGACAAACCCTGCCATCCGACACTGTGATACGAACCCGTTCAACATCCACGGCTTCGTCGGCTTCCACCCAAATAAAACCTCCACATAAATACCCAACCGTCACGAACAGGGCATGACTCCTGAGATGAAGAGGGAGCCCATAAAGTGTCACAATCTTCAGCCCCTTTCCTTTCAACACCTCAGAACACCCAAATCTGAAACTCCAATTGTCCAGCCGTAAAGTAGCCGTCCCCCAATCACGGCGCCCCTCTTTGAGTACCCTTGAAGCTTCCGCCGAGGATGGAAAACGAAACAACAGCAAGGAATCCGGCAGAGGAGACACCACAATTCCAGATGAGACCTTCCAAACACGAGTCACCCAAGCCGCGATTTGAGCCCAATCACCCACTTCCTCGTCAAACTTGCCCACCAAACACGAACGAAGATCTTCTCTTCTCCTTCCAACCGAATCATCATCCAAAAAAATTGAAGGTCCTCTATACGTGTTAGCAGATCTCACAGTCCCACCTTGAAACAGACGAGGCAACCTAGCAACTTCCAAGAATGAGGGCATAACAAAAGATGGTGAATCACAAAAAGCACAAAACCTCACACCAAACTGAGAAAGAGAAAACACGAAAACGAAAAGTGATAGAGGATTTCACCGGAGTTAATGACTCCGGTGACTGGTCGGAGTAGTAGACTCCGGCCGCATCTCAGTCACAGCAAACTTTCTCTCCCAAGCATGAAGAACTCTACAAGTAGCCAAGAAGAACTCTACAAGTAGCATCAAGAAGAATATTTAATTTTTTGATGTTATATGGTAGATTTAACACATGCAGTCACTCGGTCAAAACCTAGATCAATTAATTTTTAGAATTTTGACAGACTATTTGAATTACAGTATAGACTTCAAAATTATATAAAGGTGATACTTTTAATGTTTACAATTTCCAAGTAAAGTATAAAGTTTTGTGCTTCACTTGTGCTGCTTACCAGTGGTTCCTTGTAATTATTTGTGCTACTTTGGGTCAGATTTTTTTTTTGATAAGTAATGGTTTATTTTAAAGCTAATGGTTTATTCTGATCCTCGGTTGTGTTGATTTCAACGGGTCTGTTATTCCCATACCCATATTTTATTCTGTTTTATAATCTTATATGACCCTTAGTGCGCAGTTTCATATTTTTGTTGTTAAAATGCGGTTTTCTTGCCAACACTTGTGTACAGGTTCAAATTATTGTGGCAGATCCATTTTTCTCTTTTTCCTTTTTATATTTATTTGTGGAAAAGGAGTGGTTTTGCAGAAATTATATGTTCTTTTCTTGTATTGTTGGTTGACTTTGTTATCTCTATTTATGATTATTAGATTTATTCTTCCTTCACCTTGCAGGAGTGTCTTCTTCTGGAAGAAGATGTGAAAGCTTTAGAAGAGATGTACCCTCAAGGTGAAAAGGTGATAGATTGAAATATATTTAACCTCTTGACCGACCAACATATTTAAGAATTTCCTTTCAAAAAATAAATTTATTTCTATAAGAATTATATAGATCTCTTCCTCTCTCCTAATCTTCATGCTTGATTCGTTCAGGCTGAGACTGCTTGGGCTATGACTATTCTTGGCTACTTGGCCAAGCTTGTGTTGGGAGTTTTAGGGTAAGTTCTAAAACTATGGATATGATTTTTCTTTTGAATATCTTATATTTTTACCTTAGTCATCTAGCTTATACTAGAGAAATAATTGATTGATTTAGAGTGCTATGGGATGTAACTACACTTTGTTAGCATCTTGGTATGAACTTATTCTGCCGTCAATTATCAAAAAAAAAAAAAAAGAAAAAAAAAGGGTATTCTGCTGTCAAGCTTTATAGCTAGATATGGCTATAATATGGACAGTTCCAAAGTAAAGGATGCGTTGTCAGATATGGATCCCATGAGGGCTCCTGGACCCAATGGCATGACTCTTTTTTACCTGAAGTATTGGGAGGTAGTTAAGAAGGATGACATTGCTTTAATTATTTTGTTACCACTGGCAGTTTGCTCTAGAGTGTCTATCATATCAATCTGGTTCTTATCCCAAAGGTTAAACATCTAACCAAAGTGGCTCAGTTTTGACCTATTGCTTTGTGTAACGTGGTGTATAAAATCTTTTCGAAGGTTTATATATATATATTTCACTCATTTAGTGTGAGTGTTTTGAACTCATTTCCATCTTTTTGGTCTCAGGGTTGGAATTTTTAACCTGTGATATATATTTTTATTTACATTTCTGTTATATGTTCTGAAGCGCATTCACAAACTGTATTGAATTTATATATATGGTTTGTGGCTTTTTAACAGGTTGATTGTTTCAGTGGCTTGGGTTGCACATATTATAATATATCTATTAATTAACCCTCCTTTTTCCGCGTTCCTGAATGAAGTTTTTATCAAGTTGGACGACGTATGGGGTACTGTTGAAAATTTCCACCCCTCTTTCCTTTCCTTTCCTTTTCCCCCCTTCTGCTTGATGAATCGTGAATTCTAATTTGAGATCTCTGTTGTGCCACTTCATCAGGTCTTCTGGGCACCGCAGCATTTGCATTCTTCTGCTTCTATCTTTTGATTGCTGTAATTGCTGGGGCAATGATGCTTGGCTTGAGATTAGTTTTCATTACTATTCATCCAATGAAGTAATGATCTCTTTTGTAGTGTTTGAAAGCTATTATATTATCTTTTATTTTATTTTTACGGTGTTCTCTTGTATGGTCTCTGGCTGACGCTTTGTGGCGGTTTTTTACAGGTGGGGAGCCACTCTTATGAATTCTTTTCTTTTTAATGTGGGACTCATTCTCCTTTGCTCCATCAGGTTGATATCTTGAATTTACAATTATTTCACAATGAATGTGGAATTTGATATGGGCTCAGTATTTGAAATAGCTCTGGATAGCACAGTCACAATTTCACCAAGGTACAGCATAACACGTGGACCCAAACTAAAGGGCATTACTCAATCTTCGTCCATCCTGCATGGATACTAGAGGAGAAGATTGGTGGAAAACCCAACTTTTGGCATTGTTTTGCACGAAGTTGCTTCTCTTATGACTTGAATCAACATCCTTACGTTACCCTTGCATTAGTTATTCACGTGGACTGGACCTAAATTGTATATGATTATTTGCTTGGGTACTCTTAAAGAAATAATGTTGAGAAAGTTTAAGTTGCACTTACGGTGCTGCAATTTTTAAGCAACAAGTTCCTCTTATTGCTGAGACACTGGTAATACTAATGGTATTAAGAGTGTCAACTGTTAACTTTGCGTTGTAGTTTTTAGTCTTGGCAATTGGTTGTTTAGCTCACATAAGATTAGCATTATGTTGGTATGATGGAAACTAGTACTTGAATTACTGGAAGAAACGGATGGACATCTTTATATTGCTCTTAATAATTCATTTTTTTTGGAAACTGCATGAGTCAGTCTGCTTCCATTTGATATATAAATTGTCTTGTTCTTTCCTTTTGTGGTTCTGAGTTTTCAGTTCTTGGTCAATGTTTGGTAGTAATCATGGTTGATGTTTCTGCTTCCAGTGTGATTCAGTTTTGTGCCACAGCATTTGGATACTATGCTCAAGCTACTGCTGCACAAGAAATATTTGGTCACACGTTGCAATCTCTTCGTGGAATCAAATATCTGTACAAGTAAGTTACAGTTGACTCCATTACTTGCTGATTAATGTTAACGAGACTAGTATGATCCAATAGTAAATTTTAACTATTTTATTGCAGGTATAATGTGTTTCAGATTGCATTTATTGTCCTAGCTGGTCTGACGTTTGTGTATTATGCGGCATTTGTAAGTGTCACTCACTATACCCGCCTTGTTTTATCAGTGTTTATGTTACCCGAATTTAGAGGCATATGTTTATCTATTTTCTAATTCTTCAGGGATGGAGAAGAAGAAAACCCAGTGGCAGGTTCCAACTATCCAGTTGAAGCATGTATTGCCATGAAGAGCATGCACCAAACTCGATCATTTGAAATTCTGAGTTCTATCATTTATGTGGAATGATTTCTGATTTTCGGTTGCATATGGCCTAGTTTTGTTGAAAGAATTTGATCCAATTGCTGCAGTGGAAGTGGTGAGGTGAGTGCTGCCGCTGCCGCTGTACCTACTCGTTTCCCCACCTTTTGTATGTATCATTCCTAGTTTGATTTGTGTTATATGTTGGCTTGGGCACGCAGTAGTTTCTTTAGTGCACATGGTGACTGATTTTAAGAATTACGGATTTGATGTAATATATAGTCATCAAGAACAAAAAAGAAAATTTACGAGGTTCCTTTCCATGTCCCATGTTTTTATGTGCGGAAGTGCCTTAAACTTGGTGTTTTCTTTCTTGTGAAATCTATCAGATGGTGGTCTGGATTTATCTCTCCTTGATTTAATGGTCATTTTCTACCATGGTCTCGGTAATCTACGGGATGGTTGTGATGACGTCAAATAAGTTGAATGAGAGTGGGGCTTTTGCATCGGCCATGTTCGCTTGTGAATGTACCAATGCTTTCCCGCTTCCAATTAGATTGCATTTGTATAGCACTCCCAAGTTATTTTACTAATTTTTATGCTCGGGTACTTATTTTATTGAAGAGTATGAAGAACAATATATTTGATGTATAATGTCATGTTAAAGAACAATTCTTGCATGTTCCAACACAAATGCAATAGTTGAACCGAGTTCAATTACCTAAGAAATTTTCTTTATTAAAATGATAGGAAAAGAAGATATTTCAAAATGATCTCCAATCAAGTTATACTTGAATAATTGTAACGAAGGGTACCAGGAACCGAAGAAAAAGAGAAGTGTCAAAACCAACCCTATCATGTGTACATCTTATGAAGATTAACAAAGAAATGTTTGTAGGCGCTTAAATAATATACCTTAAAAGAAAAAAAGATGCTACCTTTTAGAGAGAGAAGGGATGGCATTCTTTTTGTTTTTCAAGTAACCTATTAACGTGGTGGGCTTTCTTTTAAATTAGGGTTTGGAATAATAGTGTTACAGTGAGGAAGAAAAATGTAATCTACAGTTTTGGTAATGCTAAAAGTGATCTGAATTAAAGGATTTTATTGAGATTAATTGAATAGAATACGATTCTCAATTGATGATTTGATTTAAATTGAATATACAGCCTGAATGTTGCTTTATTTTTTTTATTATTTATGATGGGGTTGAATTTTGGCATTTGTTAGCGGGGTGGTGCCAAGACGTCCCTACAATGGCCATTCTTATTGGTTTAATTAAGCTTTTAGTCCAAAACAGAGATCCAGCTGTCCAAGTAGAAAATACTAACTTTTTTTGACTTTTCAATAATACCATCATATACTTCAAGCTAGGATTATATACAAAGGCCTTTTTTCTTTCTTTTTATTTATTTATTTATTTTTTATGTAGTGTATATATATATATATATATAATGAAATAGAAGGAATCATTGCTTGGTGTTATTGTAAAACTGTAACTAGGCAACAGTTCATTATCATTTCACTCTTGAGTCTCCATCTATATATATTACAAAATTTAATGAAATGAATAACCTCTTATGAGTTTTTTTCCTAGTTACTTATGAGTGATTTCAAGTAAGAGTGGACATTACACCATCATCTGGATTTTGTAGTTGCATTTCACATGGAAAACATTGTGGCTTGACAGAATCTAAACTTAGGACTAGGATCATCTCCATCACTTCTCTCTCTCCTGTTCTTTGTGATGCACAATCCAATGGTTCACAACAGTCCACACAACATTCAATGTTAGCTTATTTTTTTATTATCAAACAACAGTCTTATTCTGAAAAACCAAAATAGAGATTAATCAGATTATGTGTGCTGTGCTTTGAACCCTATGATCATGCATCACGGAGTACAAAACAGAAAAAGTAATGGAGAGGATCATGATCTTCTCTACACCAAATTAGGTATTGAGATTTCGAGTTGGGATCCTCTGCAGTACAGCACGCGTGCTGTTCTTATAATTTTCTCCATAAAACATATTTATTTTGGTAGTAATGCCAAGGGCCATCCTAACTTGAAAATTATGCATGATACTATATTTATGAAAAGAAACCTTTCCATCATAGGTTATTACTCAATTACAAAATCAGGAAAATATGGTCTACTCGTTGGAATGAAATTGACCCTAAGACTATATAGTCTTGGATACTATTTCAACACTTCAACAAGCATTTCCCACAAATGGGATTGTAAAAATTATATATGCATATACTAAATTAGAGTATTCAGCCAGTATCTGTACCTAGTCCCACTGAATTTTCCCGTGAACGCTAATTTCAGAGACGTTAACAGTCTTACCGTTGGGACCGACAAAGTCATGCGGTGAATCCTCAGAAAATTCAGTTGGCATTGACTTCCAGTACAAACTTGGCTTCCAATCAGCCAATCTCAGGACTCTCAGTATTTCTTCCACCACTATCTTGCTTCCCTCAGACGATAAATGGATTCCATCACTGGGAGAGTAACAAAGATCAGCTTAAGCCAATAAAGCCTTTTTTATTCAAATGAAACTATCTTGAAGTAAAACAAAAAGGCAAAAAAGAACACACAAGCTGTTGGAACATTAGTTTATATTTGAAGAGAGCCGAACCAATTTGCAGAAATTTAACAGGGAAAGGCTGACCAGGCGCTTTCTAAGTTACAATAACAACAATCGAAGCCTTTTTAACAACTACTCCGGGTCGGCTACATGAATCCTATGTTTCCATTCTGCTCTATTTAAAGCTATAGCCTCAGTAAGCATTTTTTAAGTTCACTAGTGTTAATTTTTTACATCAGTCTTTGAAGAGTACTGGCGCGGGAATTGCAATAAGCCAATTAGAAATCAATTCTCTCCCGCCTACCTCCCTAGTGGAGTTCTTTCTCTCCTCTCAGATTTGAGTTCTTATTGTGTAATAAAATATTCTTCTGGAAAGCAACGTGCAATTCTTAACAGGCTTCATAATCTAGAGTTAAAGGTAAGCAAAAGCGAAAATGATGTCCCAGCATATCATGAAGCTACTAACAGATCCAAAATAGCTAGTGAACGAGCAGAGTCTGAGAAGGCACAAGATCATCTACATTGCACAATGTATCAAGTACAAAACAGGGATATCGGCCCCTATGCTGAGGTTAGGAGATTAATACCACGTACGGCGGAAATGTCAAAATGAAGTTGAATTAATTTTTGTATCACAACAGAAACAGAATATTCATTTATATAGATGTTAAGAACACAAATAAAAGTGAAACTACACTACAAAGAGCTGAAACCGTAAAAGAGCTTTCTATGGCATTGGTTCCTCTAGAAACATTAATGAGAATCGACTAGCTGTCACCACAAAAGGCATAGTATCTCTAAATATTAGTATAGACTATATTCGCTCTCTTCTTATTTATTTGCTTATTTATTTTTAACTGGCAAACACAGTACTATATCACTAAAAGGTGAAGATGCTAAAGCAATTCCTCTCTCTTTTCCTTTTCATTTTAATGGGCAAGATTTAGTATGTTTAACAAACAAAAAAGGAATTGATGCTAAAGTGATTTGTCTTTCAGCATGGACAAGCATGTCACCACAAAACATATGAAATGATTAAATGCAAATCAGTCTTCTCTGTATTTTCCTGGTAAACAAACAAGATTGATGCTAAAATCTCCACAAATTCCCACTTTTGACGTCGTTTGATAGGAATGCCCTGTCTATGTGCCATTGTAGGAATTAACTGACTCAGCAAAAAAGGCAAGACCAATAGCAGCATCTTACAGCCAAGGCATAGAAGCCATTCTTGTTTCTCCCAACGATTTCTCAAATGATCGAATAAGTTAGATAAGTTTTTCATTTTTCCTTTTATTTTTCTGACATCAAAATATGTAAAAATCATTCCAGAATAAGATAGTGTAGAAGCTGCTCAATGTGAGGACATGAGGAGAGGGAAAGGAGTAGAGCGACATATGAAATCATACTTACGTAAAGCAAGCAGTCAACCAATCATCCCTTTGCTGAAGTGCAGTCCAAAGATCAATGGCCTTCACATCCATCTCCCTGCACAGCTTTATACAAGCTTCTGAATATATTCGACATGATTCATTTGTCCGACCAAGCTTATCAAATTTGCCACTGAGTTCAGGCAGAGAAGACACAGCTGCCAATTAAAACTGAAGAGTGCCGAGACACCCAAAAAGAAAAAAGAAAAGAAAAAGAAAGAAGGAAATTGCAAATCAATGCGGAAGCACCTCAAAAATTCACGAATTTTTGCCTCATTGACTGGAGGAGCACCAAGAAAGATTAAACGTGTCTTCTCCGAAAGGCTCTGGTAATCAAACAGATTTGTGTTAGGATATGCATAAAATGGATACCATGAGAGGATATCAGACCAGTGTACTGTCAAGTAGTGCAAGGGGGTGGCTCTGGCATAGTTCAAATTCACAGCATAAAATATTGCTCTGATTAATATAACAAGTCATGCCACACAAGCCGAATCCTCATCTGACATTTAAATTCCTTATGACTGTTGTTGCAAGCCAAAAATGCCATACATTTTAAAATAAAATCCCCCTGTAACTTGGACCCCAACTGATGGCGTTACATCAATTTCTGGGTATTCTTGAAATGAAAATGTTCCGAAGTTCATCCACATTTGTCAGACATCTGCCACATTTACTTAATGGCTCTACTTAAGAAGATGAATTCACATGGGAAATGTAGAACAAAATTGACCATTCAATTCCATGGAAATTCTGTATGTGACTCATTATTAACAAAATGCCAATGCCACACCAGTTGATTGGCTAGCGACATTTGGGAGTAAAAAAAAATTACCATATATAATTGTAGGTCATTGAAAATATGTGACTCATGTCCGATTATAAAGCATGCAAGACATGGGAATAAACCAATGTGATACGAAGTCCACTTAAACAAATTTGGTCAGGTATCTCAAACGTGCAGATATGATAATTTAGTCATCTCCTAAGAGAATTACCTTGAGATGAATAACAATCTTCCTCATGTTTTCAATATATTCAGGGAGAGGTACATGAGGGCCTAGGCCAGACGGGTGAGCATGAACCGAATCATTACCACCAAAGTAGACTATAACCAAATCAGGCTGAACAGAGGCATCCTAATTGAAAAAAAAAAATTAATAATAACATAAGAACATTACTGAAAAACAGGAATGCTGACATTTACACGAGCATTGTCATCTATTCGAAATTCAATTAAAAAAGCAACTTGGAACATAATTATGCACGAAGATGTTTGCCAGAAAGCTATTCACCAATTGCTTAAATTACACAATTTTGTAGAGATGGATAAATGTCGATATACACATGGAATTTAAAACCTTTGGGAAAATTTTATCCAGGACTTCGAGAGCACGCCTTGAGTTCCAACCAGAGTAGCCTCGCAGGATTATGTCTGCCTAATCCAATTGCAAGCCAAAGTCAGTTGGGACATACAATAAAAAGAATTTATCACCAAACATATTCTTTTGTTTCAAAATGCAGTAACAACAAGAGTGAGGATCAAATTATAATACGGAAGAAAGATAAATATCATATTAGACCTAAACACTGATTGCCCCACCCGTAGACATCACTTATTTCCCTTAGAAAAGTTGACAGCCCCAATATGATTCAAAGTTCCATTACCACTGTCCACAATGTCAAATAATAATAGCAAATTGTAGTATTCTTAGTGGATTAAAGGCAATAAATTATATAAATCTTACGAAAAGCTTATAGTTTTTATTAATTGGAAGCCACTTGGTGCGGACAGCCTGTCAGAAATAATACTGTCATTAAAAAATAAAAATGTTTTTTGTATGATAGCTACACACAGTATCGAATATTTAAATTAGGATTCTTGAAGCTCACTTTATTTGGACATATCCCTCGAATTCAAATGTCGTGTTCATATATCACATCACATTTTAACACAAAAATCTAAATGCACCATTAGAATAACAACCACCATCTGAAAAAGGGTGTTTAAAATCATATATATTTTTTTTAAAGGAAATTTAAAAATGACAATGCAAAGAAATATGACTGATTGGCAAACAGTGACCACAGAACAACATATTCCACCCAACCCTTAAAAAAAGAAAAAAGAAAAAAAATAAAGGTAAGAAATATGGCCAATTTCTCTTGTCTTGAACTTTGTCTATAGAAAATCGATAACAAAGGTGAAGGGACCCTTAAATTATACTCTGTACACAAGGTATATATGTATGTGTGCATTACAGAGCTATGGTTCAGTGGCTGAGCCACATTGGCTCCAGTGGGGGCAATGGGAATTTTCTATTATTTTCATTTCTATATACAAATTTTGATAATTATAAAAGTGCCCCCACTGGATTCCTAAAAATTCATAAAAGACCTTTAACAAAAAAAAGAAACCCCATTTTTGCAATTTAATTATCATTTTGGTTCAAAATTTTTATTAATATTACAGTTAATCCTTGCGCACCTTGAAGTAAATTCCGGACTCCACCAATGCTACGTTCAATAGTAAAAAAAAAAAAAAAAAAAATACTATGTTTAATTGGTGTAATTTTGTTATGGATTTTGTAAATTGAAATGCCATATATTAACAAAAGTGAATTGAGGGAATAAGGCAAGGAGAGGAGAGAAAGAAAGATGATAAGGTGAAGTTACAGTATGAATAAGATGGATGTGTGTGTAGAGCCCCACCATTATTTAGAGATAAAGCCACTGTTTCATTGAAAATCATAGTTGAAGTGACACACACGTAGAGTAGAGTAGAATATAGATATAAATAATTAAATAAATAAATCATCGATTGACAGAAAACGTCAAAAAAAGGCAATATTAATTACAGTAATTAAACAAAATTGGTCGGAAGTAATATCCAAACAAAACTCATAGCATAACAGCAGCACAAGAGAATTATAATTAATTTTAGAGAGAGAGAGAGAGAGACGAAGAGCAAACAGAAGAAGTACCTTACGAGCATAGATGTCAGCGAGAATCGCACCCCAACCCTCGTGACTGAAACTGAACTGCACTATCGACGACCCGAACAGCACAATCTGCGGTCTCCCAGGTCCTACCATTTTCTCTCTCTCTCTTTCTCTTTCTCTCCCTAACTCTATATATATATATATATATATATATAGCTCCACCAAAAGAAGCTGCCTTGGATCCTCCGTTAAATGGGACTGACTACTGAGTGGGGCATGTTTGTCTTGCAGCTAAATTAGATTAGACATGACACGCCCTTGTGGATTAAAGACCACATGACCACCATTGGTGGTGTTGCTAAAATTTCAACCATCCTACTAATTTTTAGCCAAAGGCCAAAAGGATAGCAAATTGAATTTTACTTCTCATTGACAGAAACGTGTTCCAAACAAATAGGTTAGGAGTCGCACTATCAATATACAGGGCCGGTGCCAGAAATTTAGTTCAAGGGGTATATTAACACTGATAAAATAATTTTTTTTAAGCAGGCAAAAAATATAATAGTGTAACAACTATGTAGCAGAATAAGTGAATAAAAAATGAATTAGAAGAGAAAAAAGAAAAAATAAAAAAAAAAAAAAAAAAAAGTTATTGCACATAAATTATGCATGAGTGAAAAAAAAAAAGAAATTTTTAAGAAGAAAAAGGAATTTTTTAGAAGAAAATGAAATAAAAAGAAATTTGAAGAATAAGAAGGAAAATGAATAAAGAATTAAAGGCATTTTTAGAAATAGATAATTTTATGAGGATACTTTAAAATTTTATGAGGGTGTTTTATAAATATTTACAAATTATAGGCATAAAATAAAATAAAATTTAGTGAATTCAAAGGCAAAGGGGCCATTTTATTAATTTGAGGGGGGACATTGTGTCAATTTTTACAAATTTATATATAGAAAAACAAAAAAATTTAATGGGGCAGCATGGGCAGGCCCTCTCTAGGCACATGCTGCCTCCGCCCTTGTCAATATAGCGTCATCCACAATAATAAAGTGCTGATAAATAAAATACTATATGTATAATATATATATATAAAATAACAATCACATTAACATTCGTAGGATTACAAACTATAGGGTTTACCAACCCTAAAACATTTAATAAAGTTTCATCATAAAATGTATTGCGTTTACCAATCAACATTAAAAATCATATATTACCACTTTGTTGGGGAAGCTATACAAAAACATGAAACATCCAACAAAGTAATAAAACAATGAACACCAAATACAAGATATATGTAGTTACTCTAACTCTGGGTTACATGCACAATTTTTTTTTAAAAAAATTTCAATAAAGATATATTAGAATAATATAAAAAAATTAACATGAGACCATGTACACAAAACTCTTCCACTGGAGTTGCCCTGTCACTACACAAAACTCTTCCCTGTCATCAATGTTCACTCCACCCAACTCGTAAGTACACCTCTACTCATTACTCCAACCCTCACAAGACTAGATTTAGGGGGTTGAAAGTAGTCTTTGTAGTTATACAGAAAATTCTGTCTGAAAATAGTCTTTGTAAGTTTTATTTGTTTTAAAAAAAAAAAAAAAAAAATTCTAAGAAAACTGTTATCCAAATGAATTTTTAAAAACAGTTTTCTAAAAAAAAAACCCAAACGTGTTCCCATTCTTGTTAAGCAAAGTTATATGCTAAGTGCAAGTAATAAAGTATGCTCTCCAAATAGCAACCAATCTCCCGAGTCCTGTTGCACTATGCAACGGACGCATTCTAATCGTCTATGCAATACACGTTGCACTTTGCAAGGAAGTTTTTCTCCCCAAATAGGCCTTTTGTTATTGATTGGAATTAGGGTTAGGGGTGGGTTTTGGTGGGGCATTATTTTCTCACGCTGGGCTGGTTGTTGTCTTGGTGGTGGGGCCTGCAACCCTTTCTCCCTTGTTGGGTAATTGCCCTGCTTCTCTATTTGGATTTGCGTTTTGAGCCTACTCTTATTTAAGGCCTTTTGGTCTAGTTAATCCTTGTTTGGCCCATTTCTCTGTTAATTCCTGGGCTACGAGCCCATGCATGCCGCTTGCAGTTTCCTAATTTTTCTCGTCGTTAATTTTATTTTATTTTTTCTTGGCAAATATGAGATAATATATTTTATTTACTGTTAAAAAACGCAGTTAATGAAAAAGAATATTCGTGAAGGTTTTCATCACTCACTCAAAAGGGTTACAAAACATAAGTGTCTAAACAAAAAATATTAAGATCAAGAACATAAATCTATCATCTTAAAATTTCCTATTTCTTATCTTTATTAAATTGCATCTGAGGCTTCATCCAATCATTGGATAAGAAATAAATGAATAAAAATAATCAAAATATATGGTACCACTTTTTCAGCGTACTCAATTTAATAAAGCCTAGATCCTAACTAGTCTCCTTTCACCATTTTACTAATCCATCTCATTTTTCAATATAGATACACTTCCTGTTTGAAAAACCAAAAAGAGTGTGACAAATATATATTTTTTTATATATCCAATCATTCCAATGAGGTACGCCAGATCATCGTGATGCTCTGGGAGAATGTTGTCGACATATTGTTACAAATTATATAAAAAAATATAAGAAAATACATCAAACACACACACACACACACAATAAATACACATAGATTTTACTTAATTCACCCAAAATATAGGACTATGTTCAAGAGTTGTAGGGATTTCATTATCAAATCAAAACAACAGTGATATAGAGAGGTGTAGGGGACGTATCCCTAGTGATACATGGCACATCAGGGCGAGACCAGGTAAATAAATACTTATCCTCACTCGAATCGACAACTCAAGCATTGCATTTCGAAATCTAAGTGTGGTGGGTCTAAAAAGCATCTTTGTTCAACCCATTTAGCCTGAACCGCTAAAGCGATGTGCCCATGTGCTCTGGCTGTAACACTTAAAATCATATTAATGACTTTCATCTACCGCTGCATTCGAGGGGATGTGCATTCAATTTCGAGCGAAAAGGCCAAAATAGCCCTATATGACCCTAATGGGTCATAATGACTACCCTAGTGAAATGGGCCCAAGCCCAAAGCAAAACTCTTGAGAGACAAGCATGGGCTAAGACCATAAATAAAAAAGCCCTTACGCCATAAAAGGGGATCGAAATCTGTAAAGACTATTGCACTTATCTTCTATCATCTTCTGTATTTGGATATCACCACTTTGTACTGTATTTTAAAGAAGCATAAATAAAGAACGCCCTACAATTTGGCAACTTTATTAGGGATATCATTACAGAACTGATGGATTTAAACAACCAGCCGGCACAGACAGAGAAGTCAGGGCAAGGGGAGAACCTTTCGCCCCGATAAGCAGAAACAGCCACAAGCAGGTATCAACAGACGTATACCTACTCGTATATGTCTTTTTCTACTCAATCTATGCAACAAACTCAACGAGAACTGGGGGAACGTTTGGCAAACATAGAGACCATGCTGCTCCAAAACTTACAAGCAAAAGTTGCAAAGAGGGCCGTCTTTTCTCACACCACTTATGCCATCTACTCAACCAGTGTTTACGACTGCTACATATCCTTTGTCACCACCAACCTATGCTCAAGCCAAATGTTAAAAGCAGGCACGACCACCTAACCCCTTTGCAAGGAAGATGGCCTAGTTACTGAAGCCCGTCTCCGAGATTTCTTCTTTAAGAATTCACCTAGCACGGCTCGATCATTAGATTTCCGTAACGAGCCAGCATATCCACGCAGCATAGCCCTAACGCCTTACCCAGATAGATACCTGGTCCCCAAGTTTCCTAAATACGACTACATCTTAGGAGACCCTGAGGACATGTCATATGCTTTGTTGAAGTACTTGGAGGGCATAGCCATGACACCTTGTTACGGCTGCGAGAGTTTTCCAAATCCCTTACTGAATTGGCTTATCGTTGGTATAAAAGTCTTGAACAAGATTCGGTGACCACCTAGGAACAGCTAGTGGACAAATTTCTGGCTAAGTTTTGAGAAGATGAAAAGTGGATTACAACTTTGTCTTTAACAAAGGAGACCCAATCCCCTGGGGAATCACCTCTCTAATTTGTCTTATGCTTTTAAACAGAAAGGTTGCTTCAAGAACAGCAGCGAAAAGGACCGTGTAGAGATCTATATCCAAGGCTTGGATAGAAATTACAAGATCAATCTTTGCAACTTGTGACTTGATTATTTCACTGGCTTGATCGTCGCTGTCCGTAATCTAGTATGCGATCTCCTAAACCCTGCTTAGGGAGGCCTCGCACATACACCCCTTCATAAATTAGACCCGCCCTCTATACAAGTCGAGCGAGCCAAGAAACGTAAAGACACTGAATCCAAAGAGCGACCACCACGACCCGACGAGCCACCTCATTTTCCAGTTCGCATGAACGAAGTGGCTGACACTTTAAAAAAATGGGTACAACATGGGGATTTAGTCTTACCAGTACCTCGCCAACCACCAATTGTTCACGACCGTGCCAACCCAAATTTCTGCATCTATCATCAGATGGTTAATCATCCAACCACTGACTGTAGAATACTCAGGTGTTTGTTTCAAACAAAAATCGCCAGTGGCGAACTTGAGGTTACTAACCCCGCCAATGTGCGGAAGGTCTCGTACCCTCGTCACCAGATGTTACCGCGGGAGTCGCGTGCTATAATGAATTTGATGAGTTTTCCCAGGTACCTTTGTTCACCAACCCTGAGACCATGGTCCTTGAGCATTGTGCGGCTACCGTTTTAGCGCCGCCACGGACAGAAGCGGATAAACCACAGGGTATTGTCATTTCTTTTAGTGAATCCAACCGCAAGGTTTCCTCGAATCTAGACTGCCCTTTATATGTTGCTGGCATGTAACAACCCAGCTCCTCATGGATCCGGATCATTAAACGGGTCCTTATTCGACCCAGAAACGTCTGAGGGTAATACAGTCATTTTACGTTAAATTTAAATATCAAGGTCCGAAAAGGGCAAGATGGTAATTTGCCATATTAAAAAAATTTAAGACCCAAAGGACGCAATAGTCATTTACGTGTATCACATAATAAATAAAATGAGATTCGGGGCAGTATAGTCCTTTCGGAGGTGAAAATATAATTATTGCATTTTGGTGGGTCATAAAATAATTACATGCAACCTCACTTGGGTATCAAAGTGTAATTTAAGAACTTAAATTGCAATTACATATGAGGCAGAAACCAGTCGACGTATATACATTATACGTCGAGATACAGGTCGACGTATGGGA